TTTCAGAAAGATCGTTTGGGACATTTGAAGGTGCTCTACCAAACAAGTGATAGTGCAAACCTTTTGCAAGTTAATGCAATATTTGCATTTTTCCAGCTTCTTCCTCAGAATTTTGCTGAATCAATTTACCAAAGCAGTGAATTTTGAAAATCGCGTGACACACAATTGCACCAAAAACTGCGAAATCCCCAAAATATTGATGTTTCGAAACTCGATTGTATCACTGGTATTACGAAGTAGATGAGCGATTACGGCGTGAAAATGCATAAATTTCGGAAATTCGAGTACAGCTTGCGCACGCGCAAAATTGGGAAATACAGCGATTTTGTCTGCAAAAGTCGGACTTTTTGCGAAGAAAAGGTAGCCATGGAAAGAGGAGAAAAAGATGTATTGAATGGTTTCTGAACTGTTCAACCTCTGAAGTTTTGTGAGATTAGAATGAGCCTAATGAAAATTCTGAAAATCAGCGAAGCTTGGACATGATAAAAATGAAGGGTTCTAGTTTTCGGCAATTATCTCAGCGCTTATCGATAAAGCCACTTAGATTACATAGCTGCTGGAAAGAAGAGGAAGTTCTGCATCAGAAATTATTTGAATGATTTTTCTATCGTCACTGAATGATTTCAGAATAGGTTTGAAAATCGGCACGAACTTGCAGACCCTCCTAACATTATTTTCTTTTGAAGAATTCAATTGCCAAAACCCTGCTCATTTCTATAAACATCAAGGCAGCCCTCCTGTTGACAACTTTTGCAAAAACATTTGGCTTTTTAGTTCGCAAAAAATTGAAGCACTTCATGTTTTGGGACTTCGAGGCCTACGAAAAAATGTTGAGAAAGTTTGACAATTTCTTTGATTTTTCTCATTTCACAAATTCTTTGTTTGAGCCCTATTTATCTTATTTTGTACTACCGGCTCGCGGCTACAAGATAAGCTGCTTAGCACTTTCTAACAAATTTTGAAGGATGTTATGAACAGTTAAATACGAGATCTTAGAAAACTTTTTTTGCTTAGCAGTCGATAATTTTCTGGCAGTGTGTGACATGACTATAGGAGGATGTACGCTGTATTGCGAAATGTTTGCTGCCTCTGATGGTCTTTATCGTAACAGTAAATGTAGATTCTTATGAAAGTTATAGCACGTCAAATTGAGAACTCGCAGCGCATTACTTTTGCACCAACCTAATAATATATTAAAGACATAACTTATAATAGGCTGAGGGTTGTTTACGTTTGTCTATGCGTGTGAATCTCTGTCTGTCACGAAATTCGTGGAGCGAGTTCCAATGAAGGTTTTGAGCTGATTTTTTGCACAGCATATGCCCTTAGCATGTAGGTAAAATATGCAAAAGTACAAGCCGATTTCACAGATTCCAATAATTGGAATCTGTGAAATTGTGCGCCAAACGGATCCACGCGATATTTCGCGCGTCATAGTGGGCCTGTAATTGGACTTTTTCCAAAGTGGTTTCTTTTAGCAAGTAATTCCACAAACCATAGACTTCAGCCCGAAAAGTGAACAAAAAGTTTACTTTCACGCAAGATGGCGCCAAAAAAGAACAATTGCATAAATGATTGATTTGTCACGGTTCTACCTGGGAATGTGAGAAAATTTTTGCTCAGAGATGTAACTCACGGTTGTCATCATCTTTATGACGACTATCAAGTCATTCTGGGGGCAGGCATTATAGAGCAAAGCTACGCTGCATTTCCCTGCGGTATATCCTGAGGGTCATTTGCGTTGCGTCGCCTTTGATTGCAGCCGCAGGAGTAGTGCTGTTCCTGCCAGCGGATTGAGCCATTCCCTATTACTACGACCTGACATGTTCAAACTGTATAAATGCAATAAAAAAAACAAAGAACTGCAATTTAGAAAATTTGAAAAATAGACGAATTCTAGGGATGGATTAAAGGCTGAATATGGGATTGATTCTATTCATTGCTGGATTTGAATTGAAAGTGTTCAAAAAGTGGAACACGAGAATCAGTAGAGAAAGCGATAAAAATTTTTCGTCAATGACTTCCCAAAAGAATTTACAGTCGAATCATCTCATATGATCATGTGCACCAGCACAAGTCACCCATCTTTGGCGTCTTCATCCTGGAATCGCAATGACAAAAACGCAAGAAACCGACCAATTGCTATCGCTTGCATCAGTTTTAGGTGAATAGCACTCAAAAAGGAGAGAAAACCTTGAAAACACTCACAAACACTTAGCAAAGGTTCCCTTCTCCAAGAATCCATGATGGGGACGCCTTAAAACGGTGTGTGCAATGACTCATGATCATATGAAATGATCCGACTGTAACTTAATCGTCTTTCACTTTCTTTTGGCTTGCTTTGCAGACACTGCTTCTTCATATTCTACCAGTGCGTCACCTCTGCTTCGCAGAGGCTCGCACTGGCTCTGCTATCTAGGCCCTACTCATTCTCGTATAATGATGGCATTGGAACTCACCGAGCAATGCCGACTATCACGAACAAAATGTAAACAACTACTCATTCCGAAAGCTTTTGTATGGGAAATCGGTGATTTCGCGTGGATGAGACTTTTTGCAGGAAAACAAATGCAAATTTTTATAGGTTCTTGATTTTCTCATGGCCTTTACAGTTGCAATAAGAACAGCAGTCACCGTGAGCTACAACTTTGTGCAAAATTTTCGTCAAATGGTCTGGTAAAACCTTGGCAAATTGACCATTTACGCAACCAATACTTTTTGGGGCCGTTTTTGTAAAGTAATGGACTTTTGATCACTTTTTTGAGCCTAAGTCCATGGCTTGCACATTTACTTGGCACAAACATCCACGACTCTGAAAAAAGTGGAATTACGGACCCAATTTTGCAGCCCAAAGTGGATCCGTTTGACACGCAGTTTCTGAGGGATCCACTCAACGAATCTGCTCGTTCTTTTGCATGTTGGAGTTTCATGCGGGTAGCATGCACTGTGCAAAATTTGAGCCCAGGAGGTTGGCTTGAACACGCTCTACGAATTTCGTAACAGACACACTCTCAGACACACACACACACACACAAAGTCACGTAAACATCCTTAGCCCGTTATTATAAGTAATGATAGTTGATTCGCCTTTGATATACGTTTATTATTCACATTTTGATCTTTGGAGGATGAGAAAAATGGCTTAATCCTCTCGGTAGCGCTAGCTCCTCGGCGACTGCAATCAGGCGCGACGCAACGCAAAGGACCCTCAGGATATACCATAGGCAAATGCGGCATAACTTTGCTCCATAACGCGGCGCCGCCAGTCATTCTGACCCCAGCTGATTCAAAATCATTTAATCTTTTGAAAAATACTTTGTTCCCTCAAAGTCACCGATCTTACATAAAAAAGCTTTTGGAATAAGTAGTTGTTTACATTTCATTTGTGATGATCGGCATCGCGAGGTAAGTTCCAAAGCCGTCATTTTGCGGCTTCGAAGGAGGCATGTAGGTAGTAGAGCCAATGCGAGCCTCTGCGAAGCAGAGGTGACGCACCGGTAATAACATAATATAATGATACATAATATATTAGGTTGTTACATAAGTCTTGTTACACTTAACTTCTAAGGCAATAAGTCAAGCACCTCATATTCTTTACAGGGCTACAGGGTAACATTCGATAGAGCAAAGCAAGCTCTATAAGGTGATGTGCAAATGTTCGCACCAGCTCCGATCCACCGTAACTTTGCATTCAAAATCTGAGTCGCAGTGAAGGCTCAAAAATTGCGAAAAATTCATATCTTTGTTCAGAAAAAATCCTACGAAGCTTCAACTTTCCCATAAAAATTGCACACCATACCAAACACTCATATGCACCGTTGCTGTATTTTTTCCTCATCCAGAAATCGAGAAAACGAAAATTTTCTTGTTTTTAAAAAAAACGAAGCTTTGCTGTTTCTATTTATGTAGCTGTGTACTACAAGCCCTTAGAAGTATAATCGTGAATTTTCAGCTTCCCAGAAGCCCTAGTTTTCGAAAAATACCAAATTTAGCTTCTCTCACTCGGGTGTTTAAGGCTAAATTGGGTATTTTTCGAAAACTAGGGCTTCTGGGAAGCTGAAAATTTACGGTTATACTTCTAAGGGCTTGTAGTATACAGCTACATAAATAGAAACAGCAAAGCTTCGTTTTTGCAAAAACAAGAAAATTTTCGTTTTCTCGATTTCTAGATGAGGAAAAAATACAGCAACGATGCATATGAGTGTTTGGTATAGTGTGCAATTTTTATGAGCAAGTTGAAGCTTCGTAGGATTTTTTCTGAACAAAGATATGAATTTTTCGCAATTTTTGAGCCTTCTCTGCAACTCAGATTTTGAATGCAAAGTTACGGTGGATCGGAGCTGGTGCGAACATTTGCACACCACCTTGTAGAGCTTGCTTTGCTCTATCGAATGGTACCCTGTAGCCCTGTAAAGAATATGAGGTGCATGACTTAATGCCGTTAGAAGTTAAGTGAAGCAAGACTTATGTAACACCCTAATAATATTACGTAATATTATTTTATATTTCATGTTTTTTAAAGTACATAGGTCTTAGGATGGCAAAAACCAGAAAAACCTGGGAATCACGCCGATTTTGTTGCCTCTATTCTGAGGAACAATACTTTTTCCGCGCCCTATAGATTTTGAATAACTTGTGAAGTACATGACGGGCTAAGCAAGCAAAAGGACGGACGGCTGCTGGCTAAGACGGGAGTCTTCTAAGTTCCCGAGCTTACACTTCTAATATGATGTTGTAGCGCATCGCACTTCTCGCACTGCGCAGCCGAGAAGTCCGCTATCAAATGTAATACCTATTTCCTATTCGGACACCGCCTTGTAGCATGTCATAAGCCACAGAACCTCTCTTTTTCAGTCAAGCTCAATTACTTCGTCTATATGCCGTGTTTACCGATCACACAAATCATTCCGTATTTATAAGTCGAGCATACCGGGAATAAACCATTTTTATCCTACACATTTTGTTAGCAAGTGAGTCAATGGTGCACTCAATTTGCATACATGCCCGCTGAAAATATCTTGATATCGTTGTTTCTAGTGTGGGTGTTCGCAGTACTGTCATTGGCGCTTTTAAACGAGCATTGTATCACTGGGCAAGGCAGGGATCGAGAAGACAATCAAAAACTACAATGTAACGGGAGAGATGTGTTTCCACGGCCACACTACTCAGGCGTATGCAATAGAAACAAGTGAGGTGAAATGCAATAAAACTTCGTTTTAGATTAAGTATTGTACCTATTACTATAATTTCTCTAACAACGAATGCGGAAGCGCGTCCATATTTCAAGGACACGGAGTTTTTGCGAGTGAAGGGGTACGTTGTTGAAGTCTACTGTACGAAATCATCCGTTTCGCCGTACAGAGCTAAGGGTTCCTTCCTACTACGGACAGGATGCGGCATCCTGTCGAGTGCGCTACATATGCCGCAGCATGAAGTGGTTTACACGGCGTGCGCCGCAGCACGCAGTGTAAACCACTTCAGTTGCATTGAAAATACGCCCATGGCAGCACAGTTTCGCTTGTCATCGATGTACCTCTATATCTGCTGCACGTTCGAATTCTTCGAGAGTATTATTTCTTTAGAGTTTGCAATCTTTTGTCTTTTCATCGAAACCCTTTCACCGAGCGATGTATCCTATAACAGATTTTAGCAACATCAAAGATACCAGAATTAGATTATGCAGATTGCATTTAGTCTTGATGCAAATAGTGCAAAGTCAAAAGTCGAGGGAGCACACGACTTCAAAATGAATGAAGAACCATTCGATCAACGACGAAACAACTAAAGAGAGAAGAAAGATTGCAAACTCTTAAGGTACTCTCGGAGAACACGAAAACGAACAGAAAATATAAGGATACCTTAATAAACAGTGTGTGCTACCATGAGCGTACCCTCACTGCGACTGCAGAGGCCCACGCCGCAGGACTCAGCAGGCTGCGGCGTACGCAGCGCAAGCGGCAGGCTGCTCCGTCATGCGGCGTAGTATAAAAAAGCCCTAAAAACCCGCGAGGCAGGCGGCTGCCGAGTTCTGAAACGGGCGACTCAGGCAGGCAGATATCCATGTGAGTTCATGGAATGTTTGATAATAGCTATGCACAAGCTGGCACGTGGAAATTTTGAAAACAAAGTCGCTTTCGAGTTCGCAAATAATTAAGTTTCCTATAATGTGAAAATACTAAGGCCTTTGTTTGCACTTCGCGATAAGACTCGCTTACTGAATTCCGATCGATTTGGAGCGCGCTGCTTTGCAATCGGAGCGAAATTGTGACACTTTTGGATTTATGGCTATAGAGCAAGCAGAATGGAAGCAATGTGAGAGCATCCTGATGTCAGTATATATCATTACTTAACAATAGAGCGCCAAGCGTCTGTCTGTTTGTCTGTGTGTATATATCTGTCTGTCAAGAAATTCATAGAGCGTGTTGTAGTCAAGGTCTTGAGCTGAAATTTTGGTCATGGCAACCTATCAGCATATAGGAAGACAGTGCAAAAGCACAAGTTAGTCCGATTATTGGAACCTTCAGAAACTGCGCGTCAAACGGGTCTAATCGACTTTTGGCCGAACAATGTGGATCGGCAATTGTACTTTTTGCGAAGTTGTGGATGTGCCTAACAAGTAAATGTGCAGACAATAGGCTTAAGTCCAAAAAGTGAGCAAAATATCTATTTTTACGCGAAATCAGCGCCAAAAAGGAGTGATTGCGTAGATCATCGATTTGTCAAATTTTTTTTCAAATTTTTTGGAAGATTTCTGCCAGAAAGGTAGGGGACAAAAGTAACTATCCTTTGTGAAAACTATCCGACAATATTAATTTCAGTAACTGACCGAAATTCTTTTTGATCTTCTACGCAAAAACACCACTCTTACTTGGAAAGGCTCATGGAATGATTAGTTGTTTACAAGTCATTCATGATGGTCAGCATCGCATAGTGAGCAGAATAAACATCATGAGAGCAAGGGGAAGGCACATAGATAGAAAAGCCAACGCAAGCCTCTGCGAAGCAGAGGTGAAGCACTGGTCTTTAATGCTACTATGGTTTAGCTCATCTGGCATCCCGATTGAATATTCTCATTGAAAAACGTGCCAGAGCTTATTTGTTGTGAGCCATTCATTGGTTTTGATCCAGAGCACAATTTGAATTCCCTTATGTGAGGGTTGGGCCAAAGCTCACATAATCGCCGGGGGCAGGCGGTCCGCAAACTCGCGCTTTTCTGCAAGCGGTCAGCAGAATTTTGGGGCGTGGCCAAACTTTCAGCGAGCGGTACTTCCTTTGCTGTCGCATGTTCTGCCAGCGGGCAGCAACACAGGATTATCTGCAGGCGTCGGCAAATAATGTCTTTCGGCGAATGCTGGTCAAATTTTCAGCTGGCGCTCGGACGGTTTATAAGCGGTTTCGGGCTTACGCCGAGCAAAGGTGAGACTCTACATAGCAGTGGTGTCATCGATGGTTTAATTACTCAAGTTTGAGGTACTTTCTCTCAGCGGAAAGTACCTGGGGGCTGCGCGGCTCTCAAAAATTTTGCATATTCCCGCGGACTCTTTCCGCGAGAATGCGGCCGTTGCGCCGCAGCTAATCTATAAGGAAACCGCGTTTGTCCTCCGAGCGTTCGTCCAAAATTTCGCTAAAATTCTTCCAAATATCTGCAAGCGGACCGCAGAAAATCAGCGAACTATTTTTCCGGTGCCCGCCCGCCCATAAATCGCATGGCCGCCTGCCCCGGCGATTATCTGAGAGTGCGCGGCGTAAGCGGCGTACGCGGCGCAGGTAGCGCACGCTCACGTGCAGAAAGATATGGCGCGCTTGCCATGTACGTCGCGAATGCCGCTTACGCTGCGCAGTCCAGAGTAATAGTCTTAGAGCAGTAGTAGCTGATGTCACGGCCGATAGAATACACTCAAAGATCAATACTGTTATACCTCTGTGACTTCGCTCAGGACCTTGCAAAAATTATGCTCTCTTCGCTTTTTCTCTCGAATACGATATTTAGCCTACTTCTATGCTAGTCCTGTTTTATGAAAGCATAGCCATGTTTCCTGCGTTGCAGTCCCCCCCCCCCCCTTCGTTCCACAAAATCGTTCCTATTTGGATAGTGCGTTCTAAGGGGTGAGAACGCCCGCCGCTGAAAACAGGGGATCTCGTGTCCTTTCCACCGATTAGAAGACGTTACACTGTTGTGAACTCTTTGAAGACGCTATGATTACGATACCATGTATTTTCAGTATGATAATATGTGCGGCCCGCTATCAACGGCGGAGTTCAAGTACACATTGATCATTTGTTTCTGCTTCAGCAAGCATCGTTGCAATACCTCGAGAAATGTACAGGTCAGCATATTTGATATTTGTGCGTTACAAATAGTGGAAGATCTCGCTAGCAGAATAATATGTTTTTTGGACTGAGACTTTCTTTCGATTATACAAACTTACTGAAAAAGATAGGCATGCCTTCAAAGACAAATTGTGTTGCTGCAACTTCAATTTTTCAGCAATTCCTACTGCAAAGTGCAAAGAATAGCTTTCATCCATGTACTTATTTGGCAGGGTTGAGCTGACATCATACTGTTGACTAGCTTGGCAGAGTAGTTTCAAGAGAACACACTTTGGTTCTGCGATAAGTTGCTAGCGCTGCGAACTGTCTATACTGTAGTTATAGAAAATTTTTTAGCACGGAGGTAAAAAAGAAGAACCACATAATTGACGTAAATCGTGCGCACTTACATTTCCCTCTGGTCAGCAAAACGCAATGAATTGAGCTCTCAAGTATTGTAGGTTTTAGCAAAATAAGTCGAAAGGTTCATCTTTCTGTTTGCTCTCGTTCTGCTAAACTTTTTGGGTTTTACAAGATTACCGCATTCTGAAGGAAACAAATGTCAGTGTGGCAAATTTCCGGCATGCGAAAGCATGAAAAAATGTGAATTTCATTGCCGATTCAAAATACCTAAATGCCAAAGATCTGTTTGTAACAAAAAATATTGACTTTGGACTTATTACCTTCAGGATTCGTCCGGAGCGCCTGAAGTGTGTCGGCGCTGAGACAGCTACCAGACATAACGCTGTGATGTCTCGGCGCTGTCTCTGCTATTTTCGAACAGAACATGGTCATTTTGTAAAAGACAAGACATATAGCGGATCTCATTTCCAATTAGGTACCAGTCAAAATCCTATGGTTCGGGTAGCGGTGGGACAGCTCCGATACTAAGGTGAAGCCTTAGACCATTCAAAGTGATGACGAATACAGCTGCATCCACTTCCTGGCGCGATGTGTTTGCTCCGAAGTTCACGTTTTGTAGATTTGAGCAGGCGTTCAGTAAGGGCTTCGCTCTTATACTACAGTAAAATCTTCCCTGTCGGATTTAAGTGCAGCATACTTTTAGCTTAGCGTCTTTGCGGTTCCGAGACTAAAAGACACCTTTCTACCTGCTCTGATGGGTTGCTTCGTTACACTTGTTTGCGCTTTAGGAAAAACTCCCAAATATACTACTTCATCCGTTTTCGAAATCTTGAAAAGTTTGTGGATGACAAAAAGTACGAATTTGAGTGGACAAGAATCATCTCTACAGTCTGCCCCAATCCTAACCAGGCCAAAATTGGCTTGGCGGGAGTGCGCGTCGCGAGGATTTCGCGCCTCTTCTGCATCTAGCTAGTCTGCTCTCCCCTCAATCTTTTCGCTCTCTGCGACAGCGCGCGTATGCAGCGCAAACCTCTAGCGCTACGAGCGCGCGAATTCAGCCGACGGTTCAGCCTGATCCCGATTGGGGCAGACTGTATAATTCGCTCATGCAGAGACAAGAAAATTACTGGTAGTACATAGGTCATTTTTATCATGTTTATGCATATACAGAGTACTCCAAAAATGTGCACGCTGTTTTTCTTCCTCCAAATGCCTTTCGTGATCTTTAGCTATTCTTCTGTAGAGCTGGCTTCAACTCACATTTGATTGGAATATGAGGTAGAAGGAATCTTGTAATCATATGTTTGAAGAAAGTTGCAAAACTAGGTTACGGTTCACGGTTTACTTGGATGAGCCTATGGAAGAACCATGACTGTGACCATATTATTATGACACCAGTGCGTCACCTTTGCTTCGCAGAGGCTCGCACTGGCTCTACTATCTATGTGCCTTACTCATTCTCGTAAAATCGTGGCACTGGAACTCACCGCGCTATGCCGACTACCACAAATAAAATGTAAACAATCACTCATTTAGAAAGTCTTTTCACGTGAGATCGGTGATTTCGCGTAGATGAAACTCTTCGCAGGAGACAAACGCAAATTTGAATAGGTTTTTGGATTTGTCATGGCTTGGTAGTCGCCATAAAGGTAGTAGTAACCGTGAGATACATCTCTGTGCGAAAATCTTCTTAAACGCTTCGCTAAAACCTTGGAAAATTGACCATTTACACAACCAATTCGTTTTGGCGCCGTTTTCGCTATGTAGTAAACTTTCGACCACTTTTCTGGCTAAACTCCATCGCTTGCACATTTGCTTACCAAACTCATCCACGACTCTGCAAAAAGTGGTGATACGCACCAAATTTTGCGGTGCAGAAGCCAGGTGGATCCGTTTGGCGCAATTTTTCAGAAATCCACTTAACCAATCTACTCGTGCTTTTGCATGTTTAACTTTCCTGCGGGTAGCATGCGCTGTGCATAATTCGAGCGCGGAGGTTGGCTGGAACTCGCGCTATGAATTTCGTTACACACACACACACACACACACACACACACACACACACACACACACACACACACACACACACACACACACACACACACACACACACACACACACACACACACACACACACACACACACACACACACACACACACACACACACACACACACACACACACACACACACACACACACACACACACACACACACACACACACACACACACACACACACACACACACACACACACACACACACACACACACACACACACACACACACACACACACACACACACACACACACACACACACACACACACACACACACACACACACACAGTCACGTAGACATCTTTGTTATTATAAGTTATGATTATTTAGCTTGGTACGAGAATTCTCGCTTGTTTGGTCTTTTTTCTAAGGCAAAATGCGACTTTAATGGCTCAGGACTCTTCGCTTTTTTACTGTAACCATAACTTATAATAACGGGCTAAGGGTTGTTTACGTTTGTCTGTCTGTCTGTCTTTCTGTGTGAATCTCTGTCTGTCACGAAATTCGTAGAGCGTGTACCAGCCAACGTTCTGAGCCCAAATTTTGCATAGCGCACGCTTCCAGCATGAAAGCTCACTGTACAAAAGCATGAGCGGATCCGTTGAAAATTACGCGTCAAACGGATCCACTTGGCTTTTGGCCAGCAAATTTGGTTCCGTAGTACTTCTTTTTTGCAGAGCTAAGGGTATATTTGACACGCTAATGTGCAAACCATGAACGTTAGCCTAAAAAAGTAATGAAAATTCTACTACTTTACGAAAACAACGCCAAAAAGCATTCGCTGTGTAAACGGTCAATTTTTGAAGATTTTACCTGATCATTTGAGAAGATTTTTGCACAGAGATGTAGCCCACTATGTTTATTGTCCTTAGGCAACTACCAAGCCACAAAAACCCCAAAAAAACCTATTCGAATTTGCATCTGTTCTTCTGGGAAAGATTTTATTCACGCGAAAATACCGATCTCACATGAAAAACCTCTACGAATGGGTAGTTTTTTACGAATTATTCGTGATAGCCTACATAGCGCGGTGAGTTTCAATGTCATTATTATGAGGAAATGAGTAAGGCACACAGAAAATAGGGCCAGCCTCTGCGAAGCAGAGGTGACGCACTGGTATTATAATAAGTGTTAGGAGATTTACCCTGAACCGTAAATCTAAGCCAAAGCCACCGCTATAGGGTGGCAGCTAAAGATTAGCAAGAGACACTGAAACAAGAAAGTTTATAAACCATCAAACTCTGCGTACAGTGGAACTTTATACATACAAATGGAGTGAAAAACTCACATATAAGCCAAAATGTTCTTCTAAAATTGCAGAAAATGATGAAAAACGATATGATGGAACTATACGATATTAGTGGATATAGTTCGGTGGTAAATGACGCAACCAAGAAATTATTTGAATGTATGAAAAAAGACATCGACAAAAATATTGGAAACTCAAAAAAAGCCAGGAAAAAGGACGGAGGACTGCCCATCAGCGTGTAAGTCCTTATCATTGACTAGTCACTGTGAAACATAGTAAGAAGTGTTCACGGCATCGCATAAGTTGTGATAGAACTTGAGACAATGCGGGCGGAAACGAAGTTCTGGCAATAGTAATAGCTGCGCCTCTTGGTCCTGGAACTCATGTGATACCAGCAGACAATAAAAGATGCACTCTACGGTGGTAGAATGCTCATACGTTACGATGCCATGCAGCAGGGCTCCACCAATACCTTTCAACAAAAAAGACAGCAACCAACTATTAACAAGAAAATAATTTCAGGGGACTCTTAATTGTAATTGTTGTTGGCAGCGTTCTTCTAATAGGTACAATAGTAGTGCTCATCCCATTTTTGAGGAAATGGCACAAAGCTCGACATAAGGTAAGCTGCACTTGACATTTGAGCAATGAAACTGTCTTAGTACGAATTGCAGAAATGGCTTGAAGAAACCTGGGAGGAACGTGTGCGACAAGCTGCCAAAGAGCTTAACGTTCAAAATAGCAAGGAAGCCGGCGAACCGGAAAAAGCGAAGTACGACAAAAAGACAAGAGCAGGACGAAAAGCACTCAAAACATTGATTGAATCCAAAGGAGGGTCGAAGGAATCGCAAGAGAAGGGATCGAAAGATGATCTGTTTCCAATGGCAATAGGACCGAACGAGCAGAGACCTTCAGCAGAGAAGTTTTCCGCGGGAGCAGGAAAAGGTTCAGCAGAAGCGGGCGGCTTTCCTGAAAGAGGCTTTGGTGGATTTGGTCCTCCTGTGGGTAGAGGCTTCTCAAATGAAGCTCAGGGGATGGGTATGCAGTAGCCGAAGGACTTTTGACGACATTTTGCTTACATTCGTAATGAAAACCATCTTCCTAATTATCATTAAGTCATTGTTATGACAAGCAACTATTGTAAATAAATTGATAGGTCGTTGTTGCAAAGTCGCACTGAACGAGTAAATGTGCACCATTCCAACAATCTGACCTTGCAGAAACTCTAATACAAATTTTGCTAATACATACAGATTTAAAGTGATCTTTCCAGTCTGTTGCAATAGAGTTGCAATGCCTGGTAATTCGTTGTCCTGTTCCCAGTGTTTTGCAGCCTCTGATATTCTCAAGCTTCTCGTCTGTGATAATTCATAATGTATAGATCAACGCAACTGCTTCCTACGAGAACAGCCATAACGATTTGCTGCTGTATGCTGCCATATGTGTACAGCAGACGTCATCCGTCTAATCACCTCAATGCATGTATGTCAGTGCACACAAATTTGAAATCCCGGATGGAGAACTGGGGTCCCGCCGTGCCTAGCTACACCAAATGTGCAGCATGGCTAAAATTTGATGCCAAACTGCTTGTTTTTTATATTAATTTTTTTTTCTTAGCTTCAACGGTCTAATTTTCAAAAACTTGCTATTTTCATATGTCGTGCATGCCGTTTTAGAACGAATATCTTGAAATTTATCATTTTTGATTTCAGGTAAGCACATGGGCAATCTTGCAGCCTTTAAAAGTAAGTCTGCTTTCTTTCAGTATTGTCGTATGTAGAAAGTATAAAGTATCTTTTAAGCAGTATGAATTTTAACTTCCTTCTCACTACATCGTTTTGTACTGAATTCCTGCTGGAAAGCTTTTTCTAAGTCAGTAGTGGGATTGCTTTAAGAAAAAAACTTGTACTGCCCAAAAAATATTCTACTCTTTCTACATATGACAGTAGTGAAGATAGCAAACTTACTAAAATATTGCAAGATTGCTCACCTCCTCCCTTACCTGAAAGTGAAAGCGATAAATTTTGAAATATTCGTTTTAAAACAGCATGCACGACGTATAAAGGTGACAATTCATGAAAACTTAGACCATTTATGAAGCTAAGAAGAGAAGCAGCATAAAAGTATGAAAAACAATCAGTTTGGCGTCGAATTTTAACCGCACTGCGCACTTGATGTAGGTACGGCACGGCGGGACCCCAGTGCATCATCCGGCATTTCAGACTTGTGTGCATTAACACACACGCACCGAGGTGACTAAACGGATGACGTCTACTATATAAGTAGTTCCTTTTGTAAGTGTGAATTTCTTTTTACAAAATCTATCAAGCTTTCTTGCTTTGAAGTAGGAGAGTCAGGAGAATTAAATTTGCGGTTTGAACTAAGACACATATATTTCGAATCCGCTTCAAACGCTTGTTCTAAATATGCTGTCCATAGCTGCGGCGCAATACTCTGAAGCGAGTTATGAGGTTTTTGCACGAAATTGACATGCTATTTAGCATGGGAAAGCTGCCTGTAGATAAAAACCTGCCTTAAAACGGTGCTGGGATACTGAAGTGATATCGGATTGAGTTTTTGTCACTGACAAGAAAAACCACAAATAGCACTTGGATGATGATACCGTAATGCCAGTAGTTCCAAGATTATGCATATCCTACGCAGAAAAAAAATCGATAACTCGTTTCAGAATGACGTACCGCAGCTAGGAACAGCTTATTCTTAATCAGCGTTGGAAGCTTATCCCAAGTATCTGTGTCTTATGTCAGAACGCCATTCTAAGTTACGATTTCCCTTGTAAGTTAAGAAAAAGTTCTGACCAGCCGAAAGCATGAAGTAAATTTTGCAAAATATTGCAGTTCACTTTGACTTCAGAAACAATGTGTTTCTTTGCCAAATATGTTTCCTTGAAAGAACAACGCAACCGGTTTCTAGAGATCTGCACATCTCCGGCACAACACGTATACTAGTCGGTCCCTCTCACTTACTTGCAGAGCCGATATGACCTGAAACAACCATAAACTGGTAAGAAACTGTAAACTGGTAACTCTATCGTATAGACACGGACCATGGCTTTTTCATAAACCTTATGCTCCCCGGTCGTGAGCTTTTGCTAATTATTCAAAGGCAATGTGCGGGTTTGAATGCGTTGTAAAGAAAACAACATATAACGCCTGTATGATTCAGGTAGCATGCAAATAAATTGATCTGTTCGCTGAAGCTCAACTTAACCAAGGTATAAAAGAGCAGCAAATTCGCTTCTTACCATGAGGATGAACTATCTGTCATTTATTTTTCTTCTCTTCCTTCCCCTCGGTATAGTTTCGAGAGCATGGGTTGATGTTTCGTTTTGCGTGGTCGATTGTCTGAAGGATTGGCACTATCATAGCAAGGTATTGTGGTGACATTCAATTACAAACGGTTAGCAGGCGCGACAAAAGCTTAGTAAGCTGAATGAGAAAATTTACTTTCAGCGCTTTTAAATTTCGCGATTTCCCCTTCATACCAGCCACGTCAATTACTTGATTGCACGTTTTCTTTCCCAAGACCCGCTTCCTTTGACACTCTTTTCAACGGAAAGAAGAGGAGTTAATATATAGTAGTAAGCAATGGGTGTAGAGTATTTGGGTAAGAATCACTCTTAGGAGGGCGAAACTTCCAGTCCGCCCATGACTCGATAATTCATGCAATTGCTCCCCCCCCCCCCTACACTTTCTTCATGCATTCAAGTTTTTCATGGACTGCGTCTCGAGAAGAATTTGATCAGGCTCTTAGAGGCAGTGACTCGGCAAGACTAAACATCTCGGGGTTTTTACATGGAAGGTTGCTCACACCCCCAATATGAGAGCGGGCAGGCCCAAGCGCACAACATGCTGCCCCTGTCTAGAAAATTCCCCCTAAACCCATGCTCGCGTGCCATTCGTACACGCTGCCGGACGAGCATGCGTATCTCTCACACCGGCAGAGGCGGGATGCAGCAAAGCTATGAACATGAGGGTCCCACAACGACTCTACATCTCCAACGGAATCAGGATGTCAGGTTACCCTATGTAAGCGAGAAAACTACAGGTCGAGGATTTATCGAGCCACTGTCTTTAATTCATTGGTATACGAAGTTTTTATTCTGTTACTTTCCCTTGTAATTGTATACTACTATTCTGTGGATAACAGTAGAAGCTTTCTTTTTGAAGACTAAATTTTCTTTGTGTAATTGAAAAACAAACAATTCCTTCATTTTCTGCAACTTGAGAACAACGGTAGGAAATAGACACGGCTTCTTTTTGGTTTTTTTCTTTCTTTTTGCATCTGACATGGTTACCCGAAAAATGTTTGCATCGTTTCCTTGAGTGTAAACTTTCTTTTAACGATAATATGGCCAAACTTGTTTTTGATGAAACTTTCACAAGTTGCACGAGACTTTGATTGCAATGATGCAGAACGACACTTCTATGGAGTGACCGATCTAGAGTTGCTATTCTTTTCAGCCGGCGGCCACATGAAGGTGCCGGCCATACTCCCGAACTATTGTGTTGGCTAAAAAATAAGTTCATTTTGACATGCATAGCCCCATAGAATTTGATTTGTTTCCTGTACCTATGATTCTTGGGTTCAATTATTGAGGCATTTGTCTTCACATATCAACAACATTATCAGGAAATGACGACCATGTTCCAAGCCTAACCAAAAAGCTCAGACCTTTGACTTTCTAAGTTTCGTTTCTATGCTTTGATGGAAACAAAGATGAATACAGTCTGCTCCAAGTTTTGCTCCCGTTATCCCAGTTTTGCCCTGGTTAAGATTGGGGCAATCTGTATTTTGGTACTTGAATGCAGGCCAGTTTTCTCTGTTTAGCGAATAACGATAAAATATGTAATCCACACTTCAGAAAATTGTGTCACTGAAGAACGATGTCTTTTCAGATTTGCGTACAAAAAATTGCGGTATCTTACTTTGCGCCTTCTTTTCACTGCAGATTCAATTCCAATCACACAAAAAATTAGATTGTAAAATTAGATTGTAAAGAAAGTTCGCTTATGCTCAAGATTTTTTCTAGTTCGATTGCATCTTTACAAAAGATTTTTGTGATTAGCAGAAAAATCGGGCTTTAATACCGTACTTAATCTCCAACCACAAAATTTTGACAGTTTTCTTTCCTGCCGCTATTTTTCCACGGAGAACAAAAAATCCAAGTTTTCAAAAACCTAGACACATTTGCCCTCATAGCAGTCCAGTAATTTTTATGTGCATGTGGTCTCCAGACAACATGTCTGAGATAATCCTGCGAAAACAAACCGCTTTTCAAATGGACCATTTTTATTTTTACGCATGGTGGTGGCCGAAATAAGGTGTTGTATAATTGTAATAGGATGAATCCGTCTTACAGACAGCCTTTTATCCTTGCAACAAAGCTTGTTTACATTCACAGAAAGAGTCATTTTGCTCAAATTTACATTGCCCCAAAACTTTCCTTACACAACAGTATTTTCAGACAGGTCATGAGAAAGAAATGGCAATGGATGTATGTAAAGCGCAATGTCGGATAGGAATATGAAAAGATGAAGAAACATTTTCGAAGCAAGAGCGCCTGTTATTTGTTACAACTTATCATTTTCTTATATAATTTCTTCGTGGCGTGGTTGCTTTGTTAAACACTATACGTTGAATGAATTTTTGTTATTTTTGTTGTATGGCAATAAGAGCAAGAGTACAAGTGAATTGTAGAATACTAACAAGAGTGCAAAGAAGATGGCCTTATTGACTACCTCATATTCAAAACTATTTTCTCCGACATGTCGATATAACCATCTTAACTTTACCCAAAAGTTGTATGAAAAAAAAAGTTGACTGACAAGATGAGGTGTTTGATTTGCAGGATCCGACTTATCAGAGAAGTTCCAATTGATAAACCTTGTCGCCTCTGTTTTGCAAAAGGAAGAAAGAGATTGGTAAAAGTCAAAAAATCTCATTGCATGCTGACCAAATTTGAAATACAATCCTATTGTTCCTCTTGATCAGTTTGTCGCTACTATATGCCAACAACTATTTTTATTCTCGGCACAATTAGGAAGAACAAAGAACCCTGTCATAATAATTTTTTAACCGACCGAACTTGTTGCGAGATTAATATAATATCAAAGTAAAGTGTGAAACTAGGCTTGATACAGTACTGGGCCATAGTTTTCGCCCTGTCATAATTATCTTATTTTGTTATTTTGTTACTTGATTGATTTTGTAATTACAACGAAGGTGCATCAAACAGGAAAAAATCGAGAAAGAAGTTTAAACAACGCATAAAACCAGCCAGTTATCAGCTTCAGGGCTAAGAAGATTGAGGGTAGATGACAAAATTCTAGCTGTAAACCCGTCTAGCAAATGAAAAAAACATGCAACATTACTCTGAATCAGAATTTTCTTGAACATCTTGAGTCACAAACTTAAACCAAGAATGATGCCTGGCCACTCCAATGGCAAGTTTTATTTGTTAAGTATGTTAGGATAGGAGAAGAGCGACCGATTGCAAAAGATCCGTGCATCTCAGTGAGAAAATGATATGCATAACATGATATAAGCATTCTCGCTCCATTTGACTAAATTATTTCTCCACAACTTCCAATTCTGAGTTGATGAGATTTTGACACAGAATAACGAACTAAGCAGTTGTCCAAGTCCCGCTGCCAAGGTATTTTTCAAAGCGAGAAAACCACTTCAGAATTCAAAAGCGGTGTCGAGGCTAAATCTAACCCCTTCCGATTAGTGTCAATCCTGGATGTAGGCCCTACGAGAGAATCATCTGCGTTGGTCCGGTCCTCTAATGTTGTCTTTGAATGGAGATAAAGGATCTGGAACGGCCAAGGTGCTATCAGATCCCGCCCAGATCCTATCAGTCCGCCTATGCAGCACTGAAAGCCGTCCGCGTCCTCAAGACAGGGTCCTCAGAAATCGGGGTTTTTGAGGGTTTTGGACTGTTTGAACTTCATAACTGTAATCAGGGCCACGGAAAGGTCTCGGAATGGCAAAGGCATGTGAGACAAAATATTAGGTGTACGCTGCCAAAGAGCAACTCAGGTGACTCCGCCCATCGACGTGGTTGGTCCGGAGATAACAAGTCCAGACTTGGGCTTTAAGCTAGATGGAAAGTCCAAATTCAGGTAATCATGAAAGAGGGCGGACTCAGGACAATCCTGGCTTACCTAGAGCTCAATTTGGCGTTATCTTCAGACCACCCACGTCGATGGGCGGAGCCATCTCGGACGCTTCTACCTTCTGGATTGGTTTTCTCGCTTCGGAATTTGTCTTTTGCAGCGGGACTTGGGCGACTTCTTAATTAAGGGCCCACTATTATATATACTCAAAGTTCTACTAGCCTCAGTTTTGGTGGGTAGTGCCTTTAATCGTCGCTCCCACTTTGATTTACAACTTTTCGAAAATTTTCATGCTTTTAGTGTAAGTATCTCGCTCCACATTAACAGTGGTTTGTGTATAATATGGGGGAGGGGGGGGGGGGGGGAGAAAAGCAGTATACATGTAAAAATTTGCTATAATTTAGGCTATATGCAAAATAGATCGAATTGTTCGCTTGATGAAGCTGAATTTGGAGCTATATATGAAATAGCGAATAAAAAAACAGCATTTGCACTTGCCTCGTTGGAACTTTAGTAAAGCACTGAGCATCTTCACTCTAAAAATGAAATTTCTGCTATTCATTCTTCTCTCTTATTCCATTCTCTTTACTAGATTCTGCTCAACAATGTCACGACGAGGACTCAGAATAAAAATAAACACCCCAGAGTTCAGGCATTGCTTGTATAGCTGTCCGTCAGGAGAATCCGCGGTAATCATTATGTTTAGTTTGAAGATGTTCAGTACAAAATAAAGCAGCATCAAATTTTATTTGCAAAAAGGAGATGCGTTTCTGTGAAGATAGGTGTAGTTTTAGGTAAGTTTGATCCAAACAGTGCTACTCAAACCAGTGATTTTCAGTAAAAGTTGCATGAAGTGCAAAGTCTTAATAGATTTACCCAAAATATTTCCTAATGCCTGAGGAAAGACGCCACCGATGCTTGAGATGGTGTGAAGAGCAATATAAACAAGGGAAGCTGCAAAAAATAGAGAAACAACAATCTTCAAGAGCACCCGAGACTTCGACTAAGCGTAAAAGGCGCATTCGTGTAAAATAATGCTCATATTGTAATGCAATGCTCTATCGTGTAGTTGGAAACTTGGTTCCTTGCAAATCACTTCTCATTCGATAAAATCATTTGTTGCCATCTCGCATGTGATAATGAGAGCAAATATGACAAAGATGCTAATATAATAATTGCGCGGTCTGCTTTAAAGGTTCCTGAAGCCAGTTATAGAGCCAACAATTTAAAGCAATGAATGATTTGCAATATATTCAAAATAACTCTATTTTCCTTTTAAATTATTTGATGCTTGTTGCTATAGATTGTTTCAAAAGTAAAATCCTTTTTTAAATAATTCAAGCGGTTTTTTTCTGGTATATTCAGCATATTATTCGATAAAGCAGATCAAGCTCTACAAAAAGACCATCAAGGGCCCGTCCAAGCCGCATACCGTAAAGATCGGAGCCAAAATCAAAATAAAATTTGTCACCTGAAAGGATTTTCGCGAGGAATACTCTACGGACCTTTAATTTAGTCATTGTACAGTAGGCACATAGTAATACTCAAATATGTCTTTACTGGATTTTCCGTGCATAGAAGGCGAGAAATTGAAGAAAGTCCAAAAATGGCAAACTCCGTCCTTAGCCCCTCCTACAGCCGTCATTGTATACTACAAGCCTTGCTTATTATAATCTCGAAATTTTACCCTGTATGAATTGAGAAATACCAAGTTTTACATGAAAAATCCGAAAAAAGCATCATTTTGGCATTTTCAAACACACCTTTATTTCTCAATTTTGAGCTTCGGAAAAAATCCACCAACTAAATTTTTGGGAACTACTATGTATCTACTTTATAGAGACCAAGTTGGAAGTCCGTAGGAATTTTCTTGAAGTAAATCCGATTTTTGGGGTAGCTGAAAAAAACTTGATTTTTGGCTCCAAATTTTGCCTGGATTAGGTGGATCCTTGATGGTTTTTTGTAGAGCTTGCTTCGCTCTACCAAATGGTACCCTAAGTCTGTTGAGAAAAAAATAGCTCAATTTATTTGAAAATGGATTTTACTTAACTAATAGAATAAAGGAAGCCCCAACTGAATGATAAAGTGAGATCAATATAGGTTGGAACATGAATTTGCACCAAGACGCAGAAACCGCAAACCAACAGAAACCCCATATATCTCCATCCTTCGACAGAGCAAAGTAAGCTCTACAATATGGTCTACCAAAGGTTTGCATCGGCTTTAATCCACGAGAAACTGAAAGGCGAAAACTTAAGGAGTCTAATGTTTCAGAAATCGAGAAAAATCGGAGCTCCGTCCAAAAAAACCTTCGAAATTCCACTACGCATATTTTCATAGTAAACAATTTTATACATGCAATTGCCGCATTTTTTGGTCAGCTAAGCTAGATGCACATGAACATGTCTGAAGCAAAGAGTTTATCTTCTAAGCAATTTGCAGGTCCGCAGGATTTTTTGGATAAAATCTGATTCTTTATCGATTTCGGACAATTCGCTTTTTTGGTTTTTGGCTTCAACTTCTCGTAGATCAAGGTTGGCACAATTACGTGAAAACTTAGCATGCTCTGCTTCAATGAAAAGGTTCCCGGGAACTTATTTTAATAGGACAATGACAATTTGCAGTTTTTACATGTTTACAAGTCTTATGTTCCAACCTAATACTGATCTACACACAATATAACAGTTCTTTGATACTAAGAAGTGCAAAAAAACTGCTAGCTAAAGATTCTCTCTGAAGCCAAAATGGGAGGATTAAAAGGCGCCATCCTTACTGTTAGGTTGTTAGATAAGTTTCAGTTTCTTCAGAAAATTGATTTTATGACATTCTTTCTCAAAAATCATAACGTTTCAAAAAAAGCTTAGTCAGCACGAGTTTTGCTCAGCTAAAAAGAGGAGATCAAGAAACCTATTACTGCCTATTTTGGATTTTATAGCAGTTATGGAATTTTTTAACAGGATTGCCTCAGATTTCCGAAATAAAAATAAGAAAATGAAGGAATTTCCTTTTCCCAATTTTATCTCCGCAACCAAAGATTAGTTAAGAGCAAGCAAGGTGTCACGGAAAGTATACGCTTTGCTCTTTCTAATATTATTTTTGTTGTGCAGGATTGTATGAAAAAGAAGCTACGATTTTTTTTCGAAAATGATACGAACGAACTTTTGGTTCAACTTTTTTTCTTAGCAATTCGTGGAGCTGTAGCAATTTTTCTAGAAGCGTCACATATCTTGCGAGTTGTTTGGAAACTTAACCTTCTTGGAACACGCTGTAAAGCTGTCAAAATGAGTTTTTTGCCGGATTTTCGCTTTTAGAGTGTCAAAAATCCTTTTAGGTTTTCATAAATCAAGAGAACGAAATGGAAAATTTGATAGGAGAGGCTAGAAGCATTTACATGGCTTACACATTTTAGAAATCCACTGCATATTCTTCAAATTCCGTAATGTCAGAAAAATATCATCAAGTGCAGCACAAAACTTTTAGAATTATAAGTTATATGTTATCAGTTATATGCCCTTATATGGTTAGACTTTCAAGAAACACTTCTGGACCTAAAGCTTTGTTTTCAGCCTTCCTCCACTTATGGCCATGTAGATGCTAATACCAAGATTGTATGTGTGCTTATCATTATTCACATTCAGTTTCAAATCGTTTTTAGTTGCATAATTTGTTGAAATATGGGCCACATCCTGCATTGACCACCACCGAACAAAAAAGATTTCTGCGCAAGCCCATCTAACTCCTTTAGATTGCTCTTTTTATTGATACTACTCATTCCTATGATATTTAGTATGTGGGCAGCCTTTTTCAAACCTCAAGAAACCCGACTTCCGCGAGGATTTTCCCAAGTATCTCAAAATAATGGTAGCTAAAAATTGTGAGGGAGAAACTGTCAAGGAAGAGCGTGTAAGTTGAAGGGACTTTTGGGTTGCTTTTTTTGTTTCAACAGATTGCAAGATTTTCCTTGATATAAATCCCAAACTTCAAAGTGTAACTTCAACTGTGCATCTGAGTATTTAAGTATGTGTATACTATAAATTGGAGCATATGGGGTTTCAAAACATTTATAGAAGTTGGAGATCTGGGTTAGGGCAAAAACCTATGCTTTGCGATTCTAGTTTGAATTTTCACTGAGAACATTGGTAAGGCTTGCGCTTACCATATTTTTGTAGGGATCGCTTTCCTCCATCCGATGGTGTGCAGCATGCTCCAATTAGTGTTTGCATCGGAACAAAGTCTTTGTCTAAAGGCAATGTCCGAGAAAATTCTTTCCAACCTATTATATATTTTCTGAAAGCGGGAGACGAGGCAGTTCCGATGAGCACATCTGCGCATAAGATGTTCATCTTCAGAAGCCATGGATTTTTTATTCTAAAAGTCGTAAATATTCGGAAAATCAGAACCCCTAGACGTTTTTGAAAGGACCACAGCAAACCATTTATTTCCTGAAAGCCGAAGAAAAGATGGTTCCGAAAACAATTTCCTTGCTGATGCTGCTGTTCATCTACAGAAATCACAGGTTTTTTCTTTTGAAAATTTGTAAATGCTTAAAAATTGTCTAACTCTTTTCCGAAAAAGATATTCTCGCATACACATCGTCTGTAGTAATTTTAAAATCATTTAGGGTGTTTCAATCCTACTTCAGTCTTCACATTTTGGTAAAAAGACAACCAATGATGGGAGAATTTGAAATGATAAACTTCGATTTGGAAAAATACGAGAACACCATCAACCCTCTTCCCTCCCCCCCCTCGGTCGACATTTTGTGATTTCTCGATCATCTGAAACACCTTTCACCCTGGAGGGCCTGCAACCGCTCTGACCCCCTTCATCTGAAGGAATCTTCTCACCTTATCACCTATGCTCAGCACAATTGTAAATCTTATGCTTAATGCCGCACAAAGGACCCAGTTTGTCAAAAGCCATTATACAAATAAGCAGGTTTGACTTAAATGAAAGTGCAACGCGTATTATAAGCATTCTCGCTCCATTTAATTTTTTAAGTTACTTCTCTCCCAATTACTACAGAAAACATACTTTTCCAAACTGAGCTTGATAAGATTTTGATGCTATACAGTATCAGAATCCCTGACAATGCAATTGCCCAAGTCCTGCTGCGAAAGACGAAATTCAATGCGAGAAAACCGCTTCAGAAACTTAAAGCGGTCCAGGTGGTTCCGCCTATCAACGTAGGTGTTTCGAAATTAACCAATCCAGGCTTGGTCTTCAAAATAAATGGAAGTATCAAAATTTTGAAATCATGATACAGGGTGGACTTGGGACAATCCTGGATGATCTAGAACTCAATCTTACTGTTGTTATCTTCAGACCACCCATGTTTTTGGGCTAACCATCTAGGCTGACGTTTCTGGAGTGGCTTTCTCGCTTCGGAACTCGTCTTCTGAAGCAGGACTTGGGCACTGTTTAGTTAAGGGTCCCAACATCACATAGATTCAAAGTCTTATCAACCTCAATTTGGGTGGACAGTGTTTTTAAGTTTCGATTCACAGCTTTTCAAAAGCTTTCATGCAGTTTATTGTCACATCTTTTCATAAATCAATAGTGATTCGTGTGTGTTGTCGGAGGGAAAAAGCAGCATCTTAATATGCATAATAGATTGATTTGTTCCAATGTAGCTGAAGGGGCTTGATATGTAAAGTATTATATAGACGAACAGACATGCCCCTTTGTCAGTCCAAACATCTTGGCACTGGAAAATGGATCTTCTCTTATTTATTTTTCTGCTCTTCTTTTCAAACTGTATGGTTTTGGGCGAGACTCCGGAGTTCAAGCAGTGCGTGAGCGATTGTAGGAAAAAAAATACTTAAGGTGACCATTATGTTCATTTTAAAAACTATTTTCAGTGCAAAATGAGGCAGCAAAAATTTCTCATTGCAGAAAGAAGATTCTTTTTGTCGGATAGAGTGTAGAAGCAGATAATTCTTTTGATGCGCCTGTATGGTATCCTTTGATTCAACTGGATTGGCGGCTGAAAGGCGGGGCTTCACTCAAGGCTAGAGATGATCAGAGAGCACGCGCGCGAGAGGGACGCAGACTGCTTTACCGGTGCGAGCAGCCTTAATTAGGTCACAAAGCCCCGCCTCTTAGCAGCCAACTCACTGAATTAAAGGTTAATTTCAAACATGAAGTAACCAGTCCAGATTATCATTGTCAGTAACCAATAGATCTAACTACATATATTTCAGGCTTTGGGCTATATACCGTCTAAGGTCTGGATATCCCCGAGGCTGCGTATCATTATACGTGTACGGTGTTTCAACTGGTGTAAAGAGCAACAACAACAAGGAAAATTACAGAAAATGAAGAAAACAACCATCAAGAGCGTTGCTCATACCTAAAAAAGAAATTTATATTGTGTACTTTGTTCTTTGGTTGTTTGCCAATCACTCGTCATTCAATAAATGCATCTGTTGACTTTATGTATGACAATGAAAGCAAATATTGAATCGTTCCAGAAATTGTTTCCATTTTCTCAATCTATCACAAATCGGAAGAAGATGCACTCATACTTTACTAGACTACTCAGCAGAGTTCTTTCTCCTTTTTCGGCAGTCATGTTTTTTATATTTGCTTTTGTAGTTACTAAGATGGGAAAATTCTTGAACCCATGGAGTTTAACATGTTTAGGTTTGGCAATTTTTCAAAATCTTTGTTCTCAATGCCTGGAAGAGTTTTGATGCTTGCTGGATAGATCAAGCAAAGTACAACTCGAAAGATTTGTGTTCCTTTTCCACTTACTTTTCAGAATTACCAAAATCATTTTCCAATGTAAACAAACTGCATTTTTGGTTAAGCCAAACCTTACACTACATCACCCGGGAAGCAAAACAATTATTAATTGGCGCAGTTTCTTTTCCACTTTCTGATAAGCCTTTCTTTGCAATCTGTTTAACCCTCAAGGATATCCTAATTGCAAATCATGCTAATTGTAAATTTTAACCTGTGAAATTTCAAAATTCGATGTCTTGAAAAACGATGAAAGCTTAGTTGCTTCGAAAATTAGTTTAAAATAATAACTTTTGAATTACAAAGATCTGTCAGTGTTTGATGCGTTCGTGTATCACATTCGGACTTCGCAAAAGTGAAGACTTCGAACAATCATTCTTCAACCCATTGACGACCACGCCTAATTTTGCGTGGCGGTGCTGTAGAACGACGCAATTTTGCACAACACTTTCGGTGTGGGAGGGTTTTGTGGTTATTTACGAAATTTGAGGTTGTTTTGTAAACAACTATTAACATTTTCTTGAACGGCGGAGCCTACATGTCCCAAATGTCAAAAAATGGAAAAAAATATCAATATGTGGAAATACACAATTTCGCACCGTTGTGCATGGTCTAGGTTACGAAAGGTTATTCAAAGTGAGCAAAGTTATGAAAGAAGTTGCAATTAGTCTTCATCTTAACATAATATATGCCAAGTACCGTGCCGTGTTTGTCGAATAGTTCCGTACCCGATGTTAAAAGGCCTGTGCAACACGTTGTTCTATTCCTTCTCTTCACCAGGAACGTTTCTTGCACGTTGTTCCTCTTTAGAAAAACCAACGTTTTTCGAAAGAACTATGCTCTCCGGCCCTGCGTTCCCATCACTAATCGAATGGCGATGTCTGAATTCAAATGTGTTGAAAAAGTAGCGCTATGCCGTTTCAGCATCCATTCGTTATAATTGAAGCTACTTATATGCAGAATACATGATTGTTACGTTTGGGAATGAATATGGGACTAACGGCATGAAAAGACGACCGCATATGTCATCTCATAAAAATGAACTACCTTGCATTCATTCTTCCCCTTCTTTTTTTCTTTGGTGTTGTTCAGGCTAAGAAGAACAAGCTGCGTACGACTTTTGAGGACTGCAACAGACTTTGTCAAGCAAAAGTGATTAAGGTGAGCTTCATTCAATTTACTATGCAACTTTTAACTTTTGTTAAAATCTAATGCAGCACTGGTTTTTTAGCAAAGAGAAGAGCTAATCATGGAAATCAGCAAATTTTTTTCAGTTTTTCACCAAAAAGTCCGAGCTCCACCGGAGTTCAACAAATCAACGTAGCATCGCCATATTTTAGTACCGAGTAAAAAAATTCTGGAAAGGGCACATCCAACTCAGCTCGATGAGGCGAGTCTTCTGTGCAGAAGTGTCTGTTTGGATGAATTGGGCGGTTAGATAACAAGTACACTTACTATACCGTAAGCAAAAAACCGATTTCCCGAAATCTGACTCGGCATTGTGCAATTCCTCAAATAGGTATATAAAAATTAGGTGATGCGACTCGTTGAGGTGAGTCAGATGCTCTTACACACCATAGCTGATCTTCTTAACCCATTGGATCCACTTGATCCATTTGTTCCTCTTGACCTCTTCGTGCAAAAGCGCACTCACTAATTTGTCATTGGGCGCCGCGTACGCCGAAATTAAATTGACAGCGCTCAATGACAAAATTAGTGGTGCGCGTTTCACGCGAGGAAGCGGATGAAGTGGATCAAAACTATCAACTACGGTGTGTGACTTGTTTTCAAAACCGTCTTTTCGAACTAAGTATGGCAACGCGACGCGGATTACGTTGAACCGGTGGAGTTTTTGGCGGTATTGTATAGATCTGCCAAAATTTCGCCTTGTTTCTGTTACAGAGTTAGGAGAGGCTGCTCACCATCATAAATGACTTCTGGGAAGTAAAAATTCGGAAGCATTGTGGTCTTCCCTTATGACATGTATCTCTCAAATCCACGCTCGTTACCTTCAAAACGTTCTGCAAAAAGTTATGAAAGTTTTTCTATTTAAATTTCTAGCACCAAAAAGCGAACACTATCATATTCGGTCACTTTGCCTTTGTTCTATCCCACAGAGCAACATATGGTAATCTGCCATTGTATTAGACTAACTGTTTAGTTATAGTGAATAAAAAAGAAGTAATAGCATTGTCCATTTTGACCCTCTGCAAAACCTCAGTTCTATATTAGAATAACGTGTAAAACTTCGTCCATCCGAAAAAACGCTTTGCAAATAGCCAGCATAAATCTGGTGTTACTTTCCGAGACAAGAGTTTACGCATACATCCCATGCAAAGGCAACGATGACTTTGATTCGTTGCCTTACAAAAACTACACGGAACTAGAATTGTGGGGGAAGTAAGCAAAACAGTTTTCTTCTAATACAGAGTGACCCATTCTAGAAATGCCTTATCTGAAAGACCGAAATATTACGATAATCTGCTTGGGTTATAAGGTCCAAATAATTTTTGCCATTCTTATGTATTCTCAGAGACTTCCCGGCGCCAGCGACATGATGAGGGCTACCATATGTTCCCAGGAATGTGCCGTCTTTCCGCACAAAAATTAGAGGAAATGTACCTTGATACAGCAACATGAAAATATGGAACGACAACATGAAGGCCATAATAAAGATTTACTGTTCTTCATATTGTTACGATGTTAATAGAGCTGTAAAAGTGTCGATCGTAAAATTACCTTATAGAGGGTATCGCAAAAAATGTGAACACTGTTTGATCGTTGAAAACTCCGTTGCTTTCATGTCCGCAAGCTTAATGGCAGTGTCCGGGCAAAAACTCGATTTTGAGATTTTGTGCTTACTTGGGCCTATTCGCTACGCTGAATCCGAAAGTGCACATTGTAGAGTGCGAAAATGGCGAAAAACGGCTCTAAACAGGAGGGAAATGAGCAGGTGGGCGGGGTCTTCCCCACTGCGAATTCACGTTCCCGGCTTCCGGAGCGACCTTCTCGCTTCCGGTTTCAAGTCAATCATTCGCACTTGGCCGGTAGCGATGTTAGGACGGCTAGCGGAATCCAGAAAATCGCTCCGGGAGCTGGGAGCGTGAAATCGCACTGGGGAAAGCCCCGCCCACCTGCTGATTTCCCTCCTGTGTTAGAGCCCTTTTTCCCTTTTTTCGCGCTTTCCACTGTGGATTTTCGGATTCAGCATGGCGAGTAGGCCCGTATAAGCACAAAATCTCAAAATTGAGTTTTTGCCCGGACACTGCCTTTAAGACACCATTCTGCAGAGCGAGGTTCAACTTACAATTAGATTACTTACAAGGAAAGGACCCTCAATCGAAGTGGGGTTTCCTCATGTGAAGCATATCATTCTGCTGGTCTTGGAACTTTGATTCCAGATTCGTGCTCCTTAGTTGCTCAAGGGTCTTCTGGAAAAGTTATGAGCAGCGGTTCTCCAGGATGATCAGGGCACATTATAGGTCTGGGGTGCCAAAAAATGTGCAGATGTGGAGGAATGGGCGGTTGGATAGAGTTCGCGTCTTCTATAGAGCCAAAATTCTTGCAATTCTGCGAGTTGCATTTTGTCAATTCGTGGATATTTCGAGAATTCTTCGAATTGTTAAAATACAACTTGCAGTTTGGCTCCACAGAAAACGCGAACTCTTCACCACCTGCTCCATCTCTCCGCAGCTACCCACCCGCCCATTATACTTGGGATCGAATCGAATGATTATTCGATTATTCGAATAAATCATTCGAATGCGAATCATTTGAAAAGTCGAATATTCGAAAATCTGAGATTTCGAATGAAATTCGAAAGTCGAATATTCGAAATTTTCAGTTTTCGAATACATTCGATATTCGAATATTCGAAAATTTCAACTTTCGAATATTATTCGAAAGTCGAATATTTGAAATTCTCAATTTTCGTTATTCGAAAGTCGAATATCCGATGGTCATCAGTTCGATCATTCGATGGTCTTCGAATATTCGAATCATTCGATGAACATCGAATATTCAAATATTCGATAATTTGAATGATGAAATAAGAGCCCGGCGAAGATTGTATGGAAGCAAGCTGGATTTGGTTGGGGCAAAAAAGCAAAAGGATATCATTTTTGTGGCCAAAATGGCGACCTTTTTTAGTCGACGTTTCGTCTTTTGAGGGTTGTTTACGTTTAGGGCTGACAGTCAAAGGGGACTTCGTTTTCAAGAAGCCTAGAAACGATCTCATGCTGGTCCCTGGATGGAACTCCTTAAGCCTATGTCACTGTAGGAGTTTCTATCAAGCTACAACTCTCAATGGGGAGTGTATATGCTTCATGGTCCTGGCGCAGTAGTCTATACAGTAATACTGATGCGCCATTTCTGGGACAGATATAGCGGCTACCGATTTTTCGCTATCCAGCGCCAGATTTTGATGTTCTTCAACAGCGTCTATCAGTTCTTCATGAGCGTCATTGAGTAAGCTTTAAAACTTAGACTTAGAGTTCCAACGCTTAGATCCACCGTAACACTTTTTTATGACCCCAACGGGAGAAAGTGAAAAATGAGTACCATATTTTTGATCTGCGCACCGAACAAACTCCTAGAGCAAGGCTTCACAAGATTTGAAAATTTTGTTACGATACCACCCCCTCCCCTCCCCCCCCCCCCTACATGCCTGCTGAAAGTACGAGAAAAATGTACTCCGGAGGATTTTTTAGCTGCATCTCTTCTTTTGTACATTATTTCTCTTTCTCTAACCAAACTCAGGTTTATCTCTAAGTTCCACAATAGACTGCGCTCACCAAACTCAGAGTTATCACAAAGCACAACTGCGAGTTTGGTGGCGCTGTTTCTTGTGCAGAACGATTTCGACAATTACGATATATGATGTTAAGCTTTCCAAGATTGATAGTTCCTTCCTTTATTGCCAGTAACAGGTAACAATCAGTACGGTCTACGTTTCGGCGAAGATCGCCTTCTTTAAGAACTGGAAGGAGTCAACGTGTGCATTAATTCACTCCAAGGGTAGATATACCTTCAACAATACTGTGTAGGGTACGCCCACCACTCTGACAACGTGTCAGACCACTACTCGCCGTTTAGTGTGATGGAGTGAACTTTCCTTGTATGGTCAGACTCGAATCCACACCAGGCACGACGGTCTTCCTGTTTCTCCAATATATTCTTCACCACACATTTTACAAGTTATAAGATACACAGTACCTCGGCACATGTAATCTCCCGGTTTATTGGAATTGCATACAATGCAGTCCGCCTTCACACACGCTTGATCATGACTTCTATTGCGCACTAGGAGCTGTTTTAGGTTCGGAGGAGGGATTTCGACAAGTCTTAGCGAATTTTGCAAGCCGGATTCATATATGCAACTCCTGATCGCAGCGCTTAACTTAACTCGTAATTGACACTATGCTAAGATTCAGAAATAGTCGAACGTGGAATATCATGGGATTTCGACAATGTTTTCCTATTAGGGATAAATTACCGGTTACGGAGTCTCCTGCCATATATCGCTTTTTAGATTTGGTCCATTCAACTGTTGAAGGGGTAAGAAAGGTGCGAGTCAGCTCAGATATAACTCAGAGTTAAGTCAGAGTAACTGTGAGTTCTGACCAGATTACTACCGACCCTGGTAGTTTCTGAAGTTTTGAGTACCTTTCAAAAAGCACCAAAGCTTAGGAAAATGACTTGCGACTTGACTTTTCTTAATGAGCCTGAGGTCTAGTGCACGCTGTTCTTCATTCGCATTCGGAAAAGGTGATAGATGTGAACGGGAGCGTAAAGATGTTCCTGATATCGCCGCAGCGTTACTTCCACTCGACGTAAATTGAGGGCGTATTCAAGATAATGCACTAGTGACCGGAAGGATAGTGTTTTGTCAAAAGTTCGTCGTTTGTTGTAGTGCGAGAAAGGGATATGGTAGAACCAGTCATTGTATAGTATTTCCAGCAGCGGTCTAGCTTATCGCATTGCCAGCGAGAGGAAGATTGCTTGTTGCCACGAGTGTCGAGTCGAAAGTTGTGGGTAAAGCATTTTTACAGGTCAACAATGTGTATACTATACGTTATCGTGGAGTTGTCGACGGCACGGGCTAATTGTAAAGAATCCGCGCAACGCGCTGAGATATAAGTCATGTACTGCAGGTCGCATAAAAGGGCACTACAAAGACCTACAGTACTTGTAAACTATACGCTTGGTCATGTTACCATATCACTTGCAAAATAATTTTCGAATGATATTCGAAAATCGAATGATATTTGAAGGTCGAATGATATCCGATATTCGAACATTCGAAATTTTCAGTGTTCGAATATTCGATAGTCGAATATTCGAAATTTTCAATTTTCGAATATTATTCGATAGTCGAATATTCGAAATTCTCGATTTTCGAATATTATTCGACTAGCTGGCTTACCCGGCTCCGCCGTATCCGGACCAAACTTGGCACACATACACTTCGGGCCCCGGCGGGTGTCACAGTCCACTTTTCGTTATCGATCGATGTCGATTTTACCGATTTTTATCGATTTTTTGCAGAATTCACCTACAGGGCTAGGAGTTGGCATAGGGGGGGGGGAAGTGAGCATGGGGATTCCGATACAATATTAGTTTTCAGAATTATCGATTACTTTTATTGATTTTACCGATTTTTTGTAAATTTTGACATGCGAGGCTGGGATTTTGCACAGGGGGTAATCGAGCATGCTGATTACGAACACAATATTAGTTTTCAGGATCGTCCATTACTTTTATCGATTTTATCGATTTTTCGAAAATTTGAGCTAGGGGCTGGAATTTGGCACAGGGGTGTAATCGAGCATGCTGATCATCCCCCTTGGGGATGATCAGCATGCTCGATTACCCCCCTGTGCCAACTCCCAGCCCCCTAGCTCAAACTTTGCAAAAAAATCGATAAAATCGATAAAAGTAATCGATAATCCCGAAAACCAATATTGTATTCGGAATCCCCATGCTCGATTACCCCCCTGTGCGAACTCCCAGCCCCGTAGCTCAAACTTTGCAAAAAAATCGATAAAATCGATAAAAGTAATCGATAATCCCGAAAACCAATATTGTATTCGGAATCCCCATGCTCGATTACCCCCCTGTGCGAACTCCCAGCCCCGTAGCTCAAACTTTGCAAAAAAATCGATAAAATCGATAAAAGTAATCAATAATCCTGAAAACCAATATTGTATTCGGAATCCCCATGCTCGATTACCCCCATGTGCCAACTCCCAGCCCCGTAGCTCAAACTTTGCAAAAAATCGATAAAATCGATAAAAGTAATCGATAATCCTGAAAACCAATATTGTATTCGGAATCCCCATGCTCGATTACCCCCCTGTGCCAACTCCCAGCCCCGTAGGTGAACTCAACAAAGAAATCGATAAAAATCGATAAAATCGATATCGATCGATGACGAAAAGTAGCCTATGACACCCGCCGGGGCCCGATGTGTATGTGTGCCAAGTTTGGTCCGGATCGGTTCAGAAATGGAATTTTCTATTCGGAACATACGTACAGACATACATACATACATACAGACATTCAGCTTTATATATAAGATAGTCGAATATTCGAAATTTTCAATTTTCGAATATATTCGATATTCGAATATTCGAAAAAAATTTCGAATTTCCCCAAGTATACCGCCCATCCATCCACACCTGTACATTGTTTGGCGACTCAGACCTATAATTAGTCTTGGTTATCCTGGAGAACTGCTGCTCATAACT